TTGCACTCAAGTGGACTGAGGCAACACTTGCAGTAGTAGAGTTTCCAGTGTTATTCTTTTTGAAGATACAAATCCCCTTCACAAAATCACATTAAATACAAAAAAATATATCATAGCAAAAGCTGATGAGGAATAAATTGACACTCACCATTCTCTTAGAGTACTTGGAATGAAGACCCTCTATTGCTTGATCAAGCTTCATGGGATCCACAATGGTTGTTCTAAGCTCCTTAATTAAGAAATTTTTAAGTAACATTTAGAATGTAGAAATGTCTATTAAGACATACAATTATCTTGTAATAAATTCATCTTGATCATCTTGCTTTAAGTGGTAATAATAATAGTACCAATGACAATACAAGTACTTATGATTACAGTTATTTCAATCACAAAATAGAGTTGTCAGGAATGTAGTGAGTAGGAGAAAAGTGAAGAGGAACTGTAATGAGAATGGTATATTTAGAATTCTTGTCTGTCAGCCTCTTGTGGTTGTAAGAAACAAACAGCTGCTAACCTTATCTTGAGGTTAGTAATGTATGGATTGTGTGAACAATGGAATCAAACCCATGCATACAGAAGGTTTTTACATTGTAAAAATTATAAGGAGAATTTTGATCCAAAGAAAATAACCAGTTGGAAGAAGAGTTAGCATCAATGCACACAAATTGAAATGGAAGGATCAGAATGTTTTATGTTTTTTCTGACTCTATATTAGCTACCAGAACTTAAAGGAGAAAATTAACCTTAATTAACTATCTTTTAAAAGGCTAAGCAGTTAAATAACAAAAATCTACCAAAGATTGGATGATTGATTTAGATTAACAGACTACCTGTTCTTCAGCTTTCATCTCCTCCTTAGCATTCCTGTCTATGTCTTCAATTGCCTGCAAAAAAAGAGGCACAAATCCATTAGAAGACTGTTGCAGGTCTACAAGAAAGCAATTTACGAACAAAAAACAACTTTAATTCTGCATCCCTCTTTCCACTAATGTACGTGTACTGTAGATTACCATAACACCCTTAAGTAAGATAATACATATTCAAATGCCTCAAAAAAACTGACATACATGAAAAATCATTTATAACAAAAATAGAGATGTTCGTGTTACCTGCTCATACTTGGCCAGAGAATCTCTTCGAAACCCTTCGCTTATTCTGGATTTGCTCACCAAGAAACTCAAAATCATCTTCAACAACTGTAGGAATGTCTGCAGAAATCATGAAAAAAACAATTGAGTGATTAGATTGTTCCTAAGAGTACTTTTCTATCGAGAGTTGAAATCTCAGCAGCAAATCAGAAGAAAGAAAATTAATATTGGTAGCCCATGGTAACTCAAAGTAAACACAAGAAAACCTCCTGAAGTAATCAGGATTATGCAAGTGGCTAAGTTGCAATTGATTTTAGTTTTGCATTTGATTTAATGTCTGCAAGAGCCCATTACTGGGCTCCTAGTGTCTGCCATACAGTTATTATGATGTAAGTTCAGAGGATTTTGGTATTGGATCTACTAATAATCTCCTGTCTCATCCCTGGTCTACTTTATATTGTATTGATATTGTAAGGAGAAAATTTGTCTTGGTCACTCATGAGAGTTAAGGGTTAAAGTAAGGAAAACGATAATTTCTGTTTTAGTCACCTTAAGAACACTTCTTATAGTCTCAACGTTTTGTTCAATATATTAAATAAAAAACCGTTATGTTACCAAACATACTATGTCACTCTCTGATCTCTAAAGATATTGTAACAAACACACCTCACTCTTCTGTAGACGGATATTAGTTTCCATTTCCTCAATTGACTTGAAATCTTGTTTTTGAATTTCAAGTTCCATTTCTTCTCTAATAAAAAAATATCATAATACATCCTTCAAGCGTGATCATTTTATTTACTTCAGGAAGGAGAGGATAACCATGATCAATCTAAAATTACAAACTACAGGGGAATTCTATAGGAGATGCCATAGTGATGTCAATGTCATATCACTTATCATGGGTAGTCTAATATTAAAAAAACTTCTGACCAGTCAAAGATTCAGTTAACATATTAACTCCAACATCTAATCACTAATTTTCTCTTAAAGCTGCATTGTACCTTTCTGTGAACATTTGTTCCACAAATTTGGTGTTATATCAGGAAAATACCCTCTAGGTGATAGATTTTTGCATTTTCATTATGTTTTGTTGCTTACAAAATTCTTTGATTTTGCAGAGAGGTTACAATGCAACCACCTTTAGGAGTGTTAGGTTAAATCATCAAATATTGGAGAATAAACTAACTACATTACGAATTTACCCTGAAGATTTGCTCAAGGCATAAACAACTGTTGAGTTGTTGCTGTCTTGTTCTCCTGTCCAAGCTGATTGACTATGAAGACTGCCAGTGCTAAGGTGGGTGGGTTCCATCTCTATGGCTATATCAGCTGTGTTTTTGGTTGGCACAGGCATTGGAGCTATCCTGTTACTGCCCATTTTCTAGTTATGTGACAAGAAACAGTTCTTTTGTCAATGACATTCTAATACATTTTGTTGAATCCTGAGCTCTATTACAGAACAAAAGTATCAACGTAGGGCTACAGGAATCTCATTCTTTGGAATGATTAAGAGACAATGGAAATAGCTGCTTTGACATAATCTGAGCAGTTGTTACATACATCTTATACATAACAGGTAAATTGAAATATATGTATCATAAAACATCATTAACTCAACTAAATCAAATACCACTTGTCAAAAAAGATGCAAATGTGTACCAAAATAGCCAATACACACTCTAACTACTGAGAATTATATGTATCACCCATAATCTCCAAATCTACCGTGAAATAAACCTTAAATAATATATTTTCAGGTTTTTCTTCATACAAAAATAAAGACAAGATGAAGATGATAAGTACTACAAGTAATAATTTTTCGAGAAATATTTTCCACACATACCCTTGTCTATGTTAATATTTAGTAGCTTCACTAAGATTTGACACTTTCAACAAAGTCCAACAAATCTCAGAGCAGTAAACAGATGAATTACAAGTATTTACTAAAATTACAAGAACTTGCCTTTCCAGATGTCTCTTGTATTTTTACTTCATTCTCTACTTCAATAAGAATTGCTTCAGTTTGTGATTTACTTCTCCTTTGGGAGTATTGCTCCTATGATGAATAAAATCAGAGCTAATTAACCCTTTAACTCTCAAGATCTAATTGTTAATTCTCTCCTCTTGCTGCAACACATTTCCTTTTTAATTGGTTATGAGAATTTGGTGTTTAGATCAAGATAACAACTTCTACCCGATAAGTTTAAGTATTCTGACATTACCTGTTTGCTAAATAATGACTTGGGATATAATAGGGAGAGGTTACATGTTAATCACTTCTGGGAGCTTAAGGGTTAAATATCAAAAGTACAGACTGTTACTAAGTACATGTATCTCAGGGTGTGTCTCTACAGATTTCTTGATCCCTGATGAATTATACTGCCATCAAACACAAGCCCAGTACTGAGTAATACATTATTTCCTAAGTTTACCTGCAAGTCAGACACTATGCGTAATATTTGAATTCACATTTTTGCTGTAGTTTAAACCTAATTTCAGTTCAAGATGATTTAAAAAATTAAAAGCCTAATTTGTGTTTTCTGTTTTATTATTCTTATACTAAAATAACTAGAAAAAAGGGATATGCAAATGAAACTAAAAATTACAGTCTAGTAAAATAATAGTCCCCACTCTCCATCAGTAACTGAAGGTAGCCTAACCTAAGGGTGACCAGCATCTAGTTTCTCCATTCATTTATACTACTGAATCGTTCATTTAAGATCATAAGGATAAAGGAAATGATCACCCACTGAAGAAGCTCTTGATTGTTACACAAATTCTCCTTGTCAGCACCTTAGGAAATGTATGGATAACAGTATGGAGAATATACATACTGATGTTAGGGTGTAAAAAGCTTTACATGAGATGTTGGAAAAATACAAGAAAAGTTTGTACTTCATATCCTGAAAAACTAATAACAAGTGAAGTCTACTGTTTTCAGAATTTCTTTGGGTTTTTTGGCATATTGAACAGAGGTTTTGCCAATCAGAAAGGTTGTTGTGCCTCTGTAGTTTGTCCAACTTCTACTGAAACATTAATTTTAGCAAAACTTTAATCAAGATCAAGTGACATTGTTGCTCAAAAAGGAAGCTTACCTACATAGTTTAATGCTTATACTTTTGAAAATTTTAAAAACAGTAATTATGACAAAGAAAAAAAATAATAAAACGCTGGTGATGATAATAGTTATAAAGGTAAAATAATAACAGTAATCATGCAATTAGCTCAATTACTAAGTGGGAGATGACACAAATATAGGCAAAGTGATAGGTCAAGGATTACATCATATTTTCTTGCTATGTTTACAGCTATGATATATCTTACTTTTTTACATGAAGTTGTACCAAATAATGGGAACAAACAGTCTTATTTACCTTAGCTTCGAAACCTTCTAAAAATATCTACAAGCAGGATAATTTAAGCAAACAAACTTATACGTATTTTAGACAACTCAAATAGACAAACTTAATGAATGAACCATGCGTGTACACACCGACAAACAATTCTTACGAAAACAAATGAAAGAGGAACTTTACCTCCAATTCCCTTAGAATGCACCGTGCTAACAAAAGACCGAGGATAAATCCAATGATAAGACACACCAGAAACACCAAGAAAACATAACCACCAAGAGTGTCGAGCTTTGTTACTCTGTCTACCACAGTGACAGAGAGACATTCCCCGTCCATATTTCTATATTCCGGATCAACAAAAGTACAAGAGAATGAAAGGATGTCAAGGGAATAAAATATTTCTAACAATCAGAAATTAGAAAAACATACGTTCTTTCAAAACAAATTTCTAACACCCGTGGGCTCAGTTTGCCAAATATGGAGTTCACGGAACTCCAAAGTTTACATGATGTTTACCACAGAAACCATGACAACATTTTCAAACTCTAGATTGTGAAGGATATTCATCACAGTATTCACTGGAAAGTGGCCTACTTCCATCCACACTACTGTAATAGTTCTCAAACTTTAATTCCAATGGTTTCAAGATTGTAAAATGGGGACTTTTTGAACTATTTTCTTTGTTCCGATTATTTCGTATCCAGGGCTTCTGCTGTAGATCGGTTTGAAGGCGAGGTTACAACTTCGTAAACTTCGTAAGGATTCTGTATGAATGACTCTCGATCAGGCATTCTTATCACGGATTATCAACAAATAGCTGGGCTTTCGGCTAATTTAGGCGCGTTAGAAAATGCCTACAACGATGATCAGAAGTAAAGTGAAATATAAAAAGATTTCTGACGATGATGGCTACATTGACGCGCAGGTTTGAAACAACTCTTCAATTTCATTTCGATAAAAAGTTTCAAGATTAGATTAATTGAGGTTCTCGTAAAATGCGAAAAGCGAAACAAAGTAAAGAAACAAACTAAAAATCCCAAGGAATACGAACGAATTTACTTAAAAGGGTAAAATTTCCGCACAGCCCCATACTTCATTATGCATTCAGTTCTTGAATAGAGAAAACAATGACTATAACAATACATTGCCATTGGGAAAACAGATTTGTTTTACAATAGCATGGGGCTGTGCGGAAATTTTACCCTTAAAAGAAATATTTTTGCTTGCGTACCATTCCCGGTACCAATCATCTCCTTGACCACAAAGGAGTTGCTACGTTTGATGTCTCCGATAATAATTTAGTAATCTTTTTGGTTCTTTTTAAATTATGCATATCTTAAACTTCAAGGCCCCAATCAAGAAAAAAGTTTCAGAAAACCGTTGCATACTCTGGGTGATTGATTGAGTTGATTTATGCATACATGTGCCCGCCAAATATAAATACCAACACAATTTAGGGTTGACTAAATGGGGGTTGCACTTCTCCTATAGGTTTGACTTGGAAATCCTACCTCCACCAGCAACTCTTTGTTTTAAACCCTATATGAAATGAATATAACGTGAACATGGTCTTTTCACTTATAGTTTATAAAGCCTCCCCCAAAGGTACCCTGGAAGGCCTTACTGCTGGCAGTTTTCTTATTCTCCGTGGGAACTCTTTTACTTGTTTTTGGATCACTACTCTTTACGGGATATTTCGATGTGAAGGTGTGTATTGTTTTACAAGTGGTAACCAATCAATTCCATGGCATGCATAGTTTTGAGAACTTGGTATTAGATCAACACAACTTGATTAGTTTGAGTACTCTTATCACCTTTGTGTTGGATAATGGATGGATATTATAAGGAGAAGTTACATGTGAATCACTACTACTGGTTTGAAAATGTGAGTTTTCAGGTTCAGTCTAAAGCTTGTTTAAAAACAAAGTGGCAAAAGTATAAGGCAGAAAATGTAGGTTAAATTCAATAGTAAAATAAATAGTATAAAAGGTAAAATAAGACACCATGCAGTATATAAAAGAGTAGAGTTATGATTTGGAAAACCTAGGTTGATAAGATTTTTTTTACATGCAACAATAATAGCAAAGAAGTGCTAAATCATTTTAGTTGTCTATTGTTGGCAAAATAGTGGGAAAACGGTTCATATTCCAATTAAAAGAGCCCAAAAGGTAAGGAATTCTGATAATAGGCCACACCTATTCTTTCATTTTTTGAAAAATCAAGGGGTCTAAACTTAAACTGGTCAGCTTAACTACTTGGATAGCATATCAGATTGCAGGATTCATTTTATCTTGCTTACTTACAGAGCCAGCAGTATAGTGAATTCCTCTTCAAATAGCTGGTCTAAATTCCATTGGAATGTACCAAAAGTTGTCTAGACCCTATGTACTAAATAAGTATGAGAAAGGGCACAAATGCCTTAAATTGATTGGGTTTGATTTTGAATGCCTGCCACCCCTACTGATTAGTAGTAGGGCTTTTTAACTTTGATTTCTAGTAAGTTCATGTAAAACATTCACATCATAATGTCATCTTAGTGTAAGTGGAAAATTCACTCAGCTGAGAGTCAAACCTACAGTGTTATTACATGTTTTGCACCACTTTTTTTGCTGGATTTTTCTTGTCTCTTACCTTTTCAGTATGCTGATCGGACTTATCCATTGTTGATCCTTGGTTCCCTAATGTTCATCCCAGGCTTCTACCATGTCAGAATAGCTTACTATGCTTGGAAAGGTTATAGGGGATACTCATTTGAAGACATTCCTGACTTTGATTAAGAGGCATACACCAGCTTGCTGTATCGTGCGCTGTAAAAGAAAAATGACAGAAAGCCTGGCCGAAAATCAGGGAAAATAGTGCCACTCATGTCATGCAAGGATAAAAAGAAAAAGTGCGTGGCTTAATTATGAAGATACCAGAAACTCTTTTGCTGCTGGTATCAATAATTTTTGAAAAGAATGCAGCTGAAGAAACAACGTTGTTATTGAAAGAAAGTTGGAGAGATCATAATGCAAGATTTTTATTGTTAATATTAAGTAGTATTATTTATAAAGTAAATTATGACTATCAGCTCATGAAAATTCAATTAAATAAAAAAAGGTCTCTTCACTGAGGATTGAAGGGTACTCCAGGATATGATTATGGAAACCACTTTTATGCTCACCAATCAAATCAGGAACTAGACAAGTAAAATAGTTAATTTTCTCAACAGTGGCAGTAGAACTAAAAGGAGCTTGATCATCAATATATAGTAACTGAACTCAGCTGCAGTTTAGATTCTTATAGTCAAATGTGACAAATGAAATATTTTTAATCTCTGATCACAGTTATTTCAATTTCTGAGAAAGTATTTAATCTACCACACCCTTGAAGCAGGGAAATTTAATACAGCACAAGTATCACTTTGCTTTCTTCGCCTTGGAAACCAGGGTATTCAGTTCAGTGTTTCGTACCCACGATCATTTCGTACCCAAATGGACTCGATTCCTGCCCAAATTTAAGTCGGTTCTTACCTTAATTCATAATACCTCACGCGCCAGCGTGTGAACAGATGTCAATCGTTGCTTACGACAAGCTATTAGAGTCAAGCGAGGAAGATACTTAAAAATATGTTAATTGTTTATACATGTGACCTTAACAAAAACAATTAAATTATTGCCTAACGCAAGGTGAGTGAGATATTTGTAATAGAAAAGTCTATTGTATATACTTGCGACTTTTGTAACAATAACAGCTCGTGTAAATGTGATATTTTTCTCCAATAGTTAACATGGAGAATATACTATTAGTTTGGGTACTAAAGGACCTAGCTGGGTACGGAAGGACTCAGCTGACTGGGTAAGAAACAACCTAGTTGAGTTGTAAAGGGCTGCATATGAAACATCCTCTTGGTGTACATAGTACTTTACAAGTCCTTCAATATTAAAATGTCACTGTAAATGCGACCTGATTCAAACGTAAAGTGGACATATGTAACCAACATAAACAATTATTATTTAAATCAACCTAAGATCTGGAAGATTATTACGAAAACGACCGTGGGTACAAAACGACCTGTTACCGAAACCAGCAATCGGTAATCATCAAACGGTGTGGAGTTTGACCACAAAAACTCAAAATGACGCTAGTCTGTAACAAAGGTTTCAAAATGGAATTGAAGACAAAGAGAATAATCAAAAGATGTTGTTCTCGTGAAAAGCAAAATATAGTTGTTATTTCACCGCATGCCACGGAGTTCTAAAAAACGGAAGTGCGGAGAGTAGAAACAAATCAGCTAAATCATCGTATGCCAACCGTCCTGATCAAGTATCTGAACTAAACACGTTTTACAGACGCCTCGTAGAGGTCTTAATAAAAGTAATAGTTCTTACTTATCGGTGGTGTGTCCTTGTCTGCTTCTCCTTTTGACTTGTTTTTTCATATATTGCTTTTCAAATCAGCTGCAAAAAGTGACTTAAAGTTTTTCTTTGTCAAACGCCAGTAGCAGGACGAACAATACCTTTCTCTATTCCACTACCGAGCTAAGAATTTATCATCTTTCTTTCATTTCCTCTACGTAAAAAGCGGATCTTTTCTGTTGTCTCGTGACATAAAGTTTGTGGGTTTATCAAATCCAGGAATTTTCATTTAAAAATACAGTAGAGTCTAGAAACTGATAGATTATTCAAAGATAACATTCCGATTATTCTCGCGCACCCTGGTAATCATTTGGTACATCACTTTAAAACGAAAAAAAAACTTCATTCGACTTCAACTACTTTTCCCAGTGTTAAATAAAAACTATTAGTTGTACAATGAATGAATTAAGGGGGTAAGTTTCACAAGCATTTGTGATGCTGCATCGATGGGGGTGGGGAGGGGGGGGTATCGCAAGATAATTTCTTTTCATCAACTAAGTTGATAATATAAATTGGCCACCGCAAAGAAAAAGCTGACATTTCGAGAGTCAGCCCTTGGTATTTCGCATAAAATATCAGCTTTAGAAACTCTCTACGGTGGCAAATTTCCATTACCAACTCAATTGATAAAACCAAATTAAGTATTTAATTGACGGTGTGTTTCGTTATGTTCCGCCCTTTTTCACAGGGACAAGAAATTGATGCTTGCTCTCGCTTCCTTGCCGGACAGAATATCCAGAGCTGTAACTTTAATCTCAGTATCACCAAAAATCATGCTCGTTTGAAGCTCCCTCGGTTTCTTGATATCAGTGTTTTCCACCTCTGGCATCTCCAGAAGCAACTGTCCGCATTTCTTGACGCCTTGGTCTGTGACGAAACTAACGTTTTCTTCCTCCGTGGAATAAATTGTGATTATTGTTGAAGTTTGTCCCGGTTTGGCAGGCGCATAACTCCTCGTCACACTCTCTCCCAGTTTCAGTGGCTGATCGGAAGTTACAAATTTGTCGAACACATCGGTACACCATTCGACGCCCGATTTCTTCACGAGTTTGTTTCTTGGGTGCTTTCCGACAATGAATCGATTGAGGACTCCGACTCCGTACGTCATAACAGCCCGTCGAACTCGGACAACAGTGGGATCCAATCCGAACAGCACCGCTCCTCGGAGAATGGTTAGCCCGACTTCTTGGGGAATAATTACCTTCATATTTGACTCAAACGCTTTACGCACAGCTTCTTGAAGTAATGGCGACTCGGAAAATCCACCTACAAGGAAGAGAAACTTTAGACCGGTAACACTTTCTCGACTAATGAGGTCCTTGACATGTTCGACAATTTTGCTCAACACGGGGTCAAAAAGTTCTTTCATGGTTTCAGGCGCAATTCTCAACATTCCTTGCGAAGACCATTTCACGTTTGGATTTCCAAACTTTTTTACCGCTGAATCAATGCTTGAGCTTTTGTGTTTCTTGAAGTAGTCGATGAAGGAATACGGCATCGAAATGTTCAGTGGATTTGTCTTGTTTGGACTCGCAGTTCGTTTCTTTGCCTCAAAAGCTATCATTAAGTCTACCCAACCTGCGGGTCGCTTATTTTTGAACTGCTCAATGAAGTCCTTCCCGAAGATTTTCTTTAGCAGCAGTTCGAACTGCTCGTCCACGCCAGTGGCCCCACAGGCCCCTCCTGTGCCCCTGTGAAGCTCTTGTAAGGTACCAGTCTGTGAGTCTAATTCGTGTACTGTAAGGTCCACTGTGCCTCCCCCACAATCCACCACCAGGTAACGGGTGTTTTCTGAATACAAGAAAAAAGTCAAGTCAGCAACGAAGTGAAAGAGTAAGAGTGTTATTGTAACCCAGGGAGGCCTGGGGGCGCGTTTAAGCTCCTAGAGGGCAGGTAAAATGGACTCGTCAACGCTCTGATAAGTATATGAAACTAACTATCACATTGTTGCACCACTTATGATATCCTTGTCTTAAAACAAGCAGATAATGATTGTAATGAATTGGATTTTAGCAGGAGCACACACAGCATGAGGTTGCTTGTCTATCTTTGCTGTTCATGTTTCAGATTGATTTGAAATTAAAGGTGTTGGTTTTTGAAAAGGATGGAGAATTGGGGCCAACTGGAGAGAAACTCTTGTATTAGGAAAGATAATCAACAACAAGCTCAACCCACACATATGACGCAGGTTTAGAGTATCGAACTAAGGCTGGAACAATAGAGGTCATTGTGCTTTCTTGGCTCCCTGTTTTCCCGAAATTAGTACCTTGAAAGTCATCTCCGACTAGCGCGTCCATTGATGATGAGACAGTGGACCTCCTCTTTGTCTCCTCTGCCCATGAACAGTCCCTCAAACGTAACTTCCGACAGTAAATCGAGGCGGCTTCCGGTTCTAAGGCTATTAGCAGACGGTCAGGGGCATCTTGTGCAGTCAATCCGGCCTGAAATACGAAGGATATCATGCTTAATGTCTAATTCAGAAGTTGTAATAAAGTTTCGTTAGTGTTTCACCACACAAAATATTAACTTTGGTAATAGAAGATTGGATCGGATCTTAAAGAGTTGGGGAATGACATCTTGAGTTATTTTTTTTGACGAGCAAAATTAGCCAGTAGTGTTCTAAGTTCTCGGGCGAAATGAACGAGCCAACGAGCCTGCAAGCAATAAACGATGGTTGTGATTACCCCCACCATAGAAAGGAAATCATTGTTCGTTGTTTTCATGATGGTGCGTCTCCATATGCTAATTATATTTAATTTTGTTTCTAAATAATAAACGAGTTCCAATATGTCAGAATATAAGTGTTGTACTCCTATTTGCATTTGAATGACACAACACAAAATTTCTTATCATAACAGAAACATATCATGGCAAAGTAATTCCTTGTAGATTGCCGGGGGAATTTATTTCTGATTCGCTAAATCAATGCAAAAATTGCAGTTAATGCCATGAAGATGTAAAACTTCGAAAACCTGAAAAAAATTTTTCCACCAAGCTGTCGAGGAGAATAGGCTTTGTCGCTAGGACCACTGGAGAGCAGAATTGAATCTGATGTGAAATTCTTATGCTCGGTAAACAATACATATTCAGGAGATATCGATGGGGAAAAGACCAACCGTGTTTGAGAATTGTTTTGGATCACAATGCTTTCTCTTGCCATTTTTTTGACTGTATTACTGGTTGCCGGAGTAACATTATTTCACCTTTACTGTGTTGGAAGTTTGTGCTGTGGTCTCCGGCAAAGACACAGGGCTCAAATGATCGCCTACATGACAAAATAAGAAACTCTTATCGAGCTGACAGCGAAACTGAGGAGGAGAAAGACCAGGGCGATTTTCTGAGTCACTTAATTTTCAATCCGCGTAGCAGTAAAAAGGAGTGCAATGGACAAATTTCAACTTATAATTCGAAGGGTCAAACACCTTAGAGCATAAAGTTTCTAGCTTCAAATCCAGCACAATATTCACACTCAAACAACTCTTTGGTTTAAAGGTTGCCAGAAAGAAATACCCGGTTAGCGGTTATTGGTGTTCCATGTTTATGGATGGTAAGTAATTATAAAAGATACAATCATCTGCCGAGACTTTGGCTGAGACTTTATTCCCTGCAAAATTATATTTTCCAATAACCGAATCGACAATCGCATTTCTCCTGGTATTTCGCCAAACTAATCATCGCAATACATTTATTAAACCTAATTCATGGCAGTTTGGTAAGTCGGTATTATTCACATTAGCCTGAAGTATGCAAAAGAGCGTATGTTGTAGCCTATAGTAAACTGAGTCAATAAATGAACACTCGTGTGAAATTTGAACTCTTAAAAACCCAACGCAACAAAATCAGGTTAATATACTATACGAACTTATGACTAATTCTAAATCACAGTATACTGAAAATTTTTATCTGCCTAACGCCTTTGTAATCCTGGTCAATAATTTAACCATAAATTTTCCCACTTGCAGGTGGCAGTAAGCCAGCCTGGACACAAGCCAACATCACTTACACAAATAAGTTTTTATTGAAAATTACGAAACGTAGTGATGTGCTATATATGTGTGTAACTTCGAAAAGTGACTTAAGTAGCTCAGCAGAATCATTTTGACATTTCCATTGATGAAATACCTACGGAAGGAACATTTCATCCAAGTATGGTGGTGGTGACGGCCGTTTTCCTTGGAGTAATTGTGGCTGGATTTAGCGTGTTGGATATCTACTTGCTGAAACGATGTTTTGGGGAGGAACAAAATCAGCTGGAAGATACGGAACCGTATGCACAAGTGTTCCCAGTGACAATACCTTACTTCTCTGCGAGATAAACCAATTTTTGAGACCTACGCTTGCGCTCAAGAGATAAAGCCACGACAATTTATAACCTAAAAGACACATGGCGAATGAAATGAGACATTTAGAAAGTATATTCCTTTGTATATAAGGTTTATCAATACGAAATGAGATATTTGAAGCAGATTTTCTACGTTCTTAAAGGATGCGCTAAAATTTCATTGGTTTTCAATGTGTTGGAGTTTTCACATCTCTATCTTCTAAGGAAAATGGATTCTGGTGTAATATTGTACAAGCAATAGTTTTTGGACTTAAATTATGGTTATTCTTAGTGAATTGGCTTCGTTATTGTTTTATTCGATTTGCAGGATTATAAGAAGTTTCTCTTTTTGAGAAACGGATTAACTCTGTTTATTATTTTTTCGGGTCTCGTAAAGTGTACATCTCAGCTGATGTAGTTGTTGTTATTGTGTTGTAGAGGTAAGAATGTGTCTTTGCCAGTTTTTTTTGTTATGTTTTGCTTTGTTTTGTTTATCTACTCGTTGATAAAATCAACAATCATACTATACTTCGTAAAGAACAGCTACCTTTCGAACGAAAGCTTTTCATTTATTGACAATAGGTGATTTAGAAATTCGCAAATTTTGACGATGTTTTCCAGAACTTTTCTTACGCTTACTAAGTGAAAAACATTTCATAATTCAGCTAACTGGCTTGCGGCCAAAACGTTAAACATCTTCAACCTGCGTAGTTCGCTAATGGTATTCTATTCTTGTTGATTAGTTTCACACTTGTTTACAGAAGCTGTATAGCAGGTGCTCCTTTACGCCACGCACATTTGACACTAATGAATCCGAGTGCAGCTCGAGACACTACCATTTTCAGAAGGAAATCTCGTTTGGATAAGGCAGATTTAACGTTAAAACAGTTGGAGAACAATCATGGTGGTAGTAGAAATTGTCGTTCTTGGCACGTTCACAGCAATAGCACTCCTAGATGTGTACATGCTCAAGAAACTATGCGAAGGAAAAGAGTACCGCGTCCATGTCAACTCAAAATACCACTTGGCGGGTGACGGTTCGTATTTGCTGTAATACCATGGAACATTTCGATGTCGAGTGCAGTTTCAATTCAGTTAGCTTCGAACTTACTTCACAAGAACAAAACAACGCGTGATTACTACATTTATCATTCTGTCCTTAGAAAAACTGGACAGTTTCACAAAACAATTTATACCAGACTTCTCAACTTCTCCTTTAATTTTGAATGAATGTTTAACATTACCTTAAAGTATCTAATGCCCCGTTCACACCAAAGCTTAAACATGTTTAAAAGTTGTTTTGTTAAACACAGTTTAATTTTTTTTTTCTTCATAGAAACTATTTAACCGAATATTTTTGACTTGAATGTAGCACATTGGAAATGCAAGTTAGCAAGTACTTGAATCCAATGGAAAATCAAGTTTTTCAGTTCTCTGTTTATAATTTTCATTCAATGAAAACCAGTTTAACAAAACATGTTTTGCTGGTGTGAATGGGGTATAAGGTACAATACTTTAAGACTAACCATCGACAAACGAAACGATACTTGCTTAATTTGCTTGCAACGGCGAGTAAGACTCACGAAATTGACAATCAATGGTTCAGTTTCTAGAGAGGCAGAAATTATCTTTATTTTGCGAGGGTAGATGTACTATAACAATATTATCTGTGAGAAAGAAGAAGAACTTACTCTGTGTCTTACTTCTGTGTTTCAGAATGGATAAAGGCTAGCCGGTATTTTAGGGAAAATTCTTGACACATTACATTTTGAAAACCGAGAAAAACCTTCAACTTTAAGATATTTTTATTTTGGGAAAGTTATTTAAGGTTGCTGTTAAGGGGAAAAGAGTGATTTCATCAATAAAAGCATAATAGTGGCGGATTTCGCCACAAACATAACTAAGGTATTGTGAAAATCATTTCAGCCGTGTATTCTTGTTTCGAATGCAACTCAGATTGAAACGAACCGCGAAAGTTACCATCATGCAATTGAAATTCAATCATATTGCTAGCTTTTTTTTTTTTTTTAATTCAACCGCAGTGTAAATATCATTTTGCAATTTCATATGGATTATGAAAAAGGCTCGTAGATTTACTTAAGATAAAGAAAAATAAACAAGCACTCGTGGTGCCGTGGACTCACTTACTTTAATATCAACCATCCCTAGTCTAAAATTGTTATATTCTTTTGAAAAATTGGTCTATGCCTTTCATCTTAATAAAACTCTACAAAATAGAGCTGAAATTCGGAGGAATTTGTAGACGTCAGGAAACGAAAGTCACGTGATGTTAACCAATAACACTGGTTTTCACCGGGCATCTGTTTAGATCACAACATAACAAAATTAATTATTTAGAACTATTTGTCTTCAAAAGGATAGCGTTAGAAAGAGCTATAAGATGCTGAAATAACATTGACACCCTCGAGAAAGTTTGTCACGTACTGACGTACGTGCTATGCATAAGTGCTTTAAATTTTCGATTGCGTGCAAGATGAGCCACCACCATTTATTAGAAAGAAGCAGAAATATGCTGGGGTAAACGGGTATTTGAGCTTACAGGCTAGATAAAAGTCATTATAAAGTGTATGACAAAGATCCTTGTATAAAAATCTGAACACATGAATGGCGGTTTGCTTTGAAATGTTTTAACGCATTAAAACGAAAAACATTATGAACGCTGTTTTCCGAAAATCTAAAATGAAAGGGTTCAGGAAATGTGTTTCCACGAAACACACAACAAAATGGGCATGCACTGGAAGTTAACTTACAACAGGAACAGAGCTGAACAATCTCGCAGCACCGACGTAAAATAATTCATGCAAATGTAAGCAAATAAAGAAATTCCTTGGCTCAAAATAATTACTCGATTTGTCATTCAAAAGCATGCGCTTTTTTACGTATAAATAAGAGCTTACAGGTGGCAAAGATAGTGGCGAAATTCCAACCGCAAAACTTCAAAACGTCCTCAAAGCGAAAAAACATATCTCGAAGGGGATTGAAAATCAATTCGAAGTTACTAGAAAGATTTTCCACACGATCGAAAAGAAGATAAACCTTACGCTAGCCATGGTATTTGTGGAGGTCTTTGTTATTGTTACCGTGGCTGCTGTGGTAGGAATAGAAGCATTTGTGCTGAGGAAAATTTGCAAAGGCGAGGAAGTGCCGTACTTCAAGCACGGACCACTTTTTGTTTCCAGAGGAGAAGCTTTGGCATTGATGGCCTCCAAATGATAAATTGGACACCCCTGGATCCTTGGATTTCTCAGAGGACAACATAACTTGGAAAATGTTTTTTAGCAATGAATACGTCTTGCAGAGGCAATACTCAGTTGGGCACATTTTAGCAGCCTTGCATACTTTAAGACTGGCACCTTTTGGTAGCCTAGTATATTTTAAGACTGGCAATCGTGAACTGTTAAGAACACTGTATCGCTTTACAAAAGTCATCATAAATGTTTTTTTTTTTTGAAAAGTCTCTTGGTTCGATTTTCCACACATTTTTAGGCAGATGTATTGAGTTAGTTAGGATCAAGGTGGACTAAAAATTATAAGAAAATGAGTTGTATTCTACTAACTTAAAATTATGCTACATGTTATACATTTCATCTTGGAAGAAAAAAAAGCCCTCGAGCTTTTATATCACAAAGTTTAGAAGGTAATGAATGTCAATTGTTCAATCTATTCAATTTAGCAGGTTTCTCGCCAGCACAATTTACTTTTTAGCTTCGAGAAAATATAAACAATGTTTTTCACATTCCACTATTATTTTGTGTCCGTTATAAACTTTTTCAATACCCTAAATGTATCCATTTCTTCTTCATTTCCGTTGACAAATTTTTTTTAAAAATTTGGTGCTTACCACAAGCCAAATTCCCGTTACTGATGAATTTTTTTATTCTCCTCATCTGTCTAGTTACGAGAGAGTCGGCATTTTAGAGAGAATATTGGTAGCAATCAGTACTAATGACGGGTTTGACGTCTCGCATTACATTTTTATTTGGCTCTTTTCCAAGTTGCGGAAGCCGCAACGAATTACGAATTTAATTACAAGAGAGTTGGTACAATTTCGTTGTTATCGCGCTATTAATTGCAAATCTACAGTGCTGTTTTCAGCCATGGTGGTTTTTGAATGTCTCGTATTCGGCTCTATCGCCGCTGTGGTTGTCAGCGAACTCTTCCTTCTGAAGAAATTATTCACAGAGAACAACTTTCCTCACATTAACAACGACACTTCGACACCAATCACAAGTTTATTTAGCAGTAGAAACGAATACGCATGATTACGAGGAAGTGAATTTTAAAGAGGTTCTACACCATAATGTTCCGCGAATACTGGAACAATTTAAGTTCTGAGCACAATATTAATTTCTATTATTGAACCATAATGACAATCACCGCCTCCACTACTGTGAAAATGTCTCAATTAACATGGACAAAGGTGTAACTAGCACATGACAAGTGGATGTCAATCTATGAGATGTCTTACAAACTTTAAAGTGGCTCTGTACACTTCTACTTAACTACGCGACTTCATGATTAGAAACACTGCTTGAGGTGCGACCCTTCAAAGTGGCCTTGTTCTACGAACAAGCGGTTTTTAACTTTTATCAAAAGGATTTTAAACACGGAAATGACCGAATATTAGAGGTTTAGTAATAAGGTCTATTTTAAACTTGTAGCCTTTTTTATGATTTTACTATCTATGAGTGTCAAAAATTATTTTTCATGATCTGTATTGACTGTTTTGAACAAGATAAATACTGCTAAACCTAGTACACAACAACGGTTTTTTTTTTTTGCATAATCAGCTAGTATCTCACGTGCGGACTTAAATGTAGGATGTTTTTGAGAACAACAAACATGTACACAACCGCAAATGAACCCTTGATATGAGAAAGTTTCGATGAGGAATTGTGTCATAGAGGCATTGAGACGTTATTTGTCTCGAAAGTTGCCGATTATTTATATATTTTATTCAACATGTAATTATCTCATGGTGCAATCACGTAGAGGCACACAAACTTAAATTTTTGGATGTTTTCAGAGACAGCACCAGCACAACCGCAGAAGACTGTGATTTCTATTAGCTATGAAGTGGAATAAACGTTCTGGGACGTAACACGTTCTGAAGTTCCCTCAAATTGGACGCAACTTTTCCTTTAAATTAATTTGCGTCTTGTTCTTTCATGGGGCTTTGAGCCAAGATGAGTCTATTGTGCAACCTTGGGTTTTTTAAGGGTCTTTTTTCCCTTTGGCAGAAAATGTGATTTATTATTTCTTGGCGATGAGCCCGATTGTTTATTTGTGAAAGTCCCTGAGCTAAGAGTCAGCTATACTTAAATTTACGCTTCAATAATGACATCCGTTTGGAATTAAAAAAACTAACTGAGAGAAACTCGAGCATCCCTCTGTTATGTCCTTCGTTCTTGTGGAAAATTACCTTCAGTA